AAAAAAAAACATTTTAAAAAATAAAATTCTAATGTTATAAAACTTATAAATATCTTTAATAATATAGAAAATTTGGGAAAAGTCCAATTATGATGACAAAAAATGCATGCAATGTTATCACAATCCACGCGTTTTGAGATTTATTTTTTGATCATCGAGGTGATGGGAATTTGAATTTGGGATCTCTTCTACTATTGGGGAGAGAATACCACTAGAAGAAGATCTAGCAGTGTGACGGGTACCATGGAAAAATTACTTGGTTCAATGGTTTGTTACGAAGGACACGTGGGAATTAATTAGTATTTTTTTGGTAGACTGTGAATGAATTAGTCATGGACTGCTAACTGCCTCATCGAGTCACTGCTGTTTATCTCTCTTTTCTGTTTTCCATACAAGGATCACAAAAGGAGTGTCACCATGGAACATTTATCATGTCCATGTTTCTGTGACTATCAATCTTTCTTAGAATTCTATTAGATTAGATATTTTTCCAGGTACTTTTCTCTCTTTCTCTCACACATTGTTATGCATATTCAGAGGCCAAGCAAGTTATGATCCCATTTTGGAATTGAATTGAATTGTCATCTCCTTCAGTTTCTTTTTCTTTTTCGTTGGTCTCTTCAACCAATTGAAGCTTTGAGTATCTGAATCCAAAATTCTTGTAAAATCTGTTTCTTCACTGTTATTTGCAGATACCCAAAAGAAAACTTAACATTATTGTTTCCTAATAAGTGCAATGTGCACCTTGTCTCTCCATAAATCTTTTCTGTTTTCAAATGATACATTTCTTTTACAGGATCAGGATCAGGTTTGCAATTTGGAACCTTGGATTAGAGCATAACTGAGAAATTTAATGCAAATTTTTGGTTCTACTGGTTGAAAGGGCTTTCCTTGTGGCTGAAGTTACAAGAAACCAAAATGCCGGCTTCGATAAGGTTCCGATCTATCCTTATGAACTTCCACAGAAATTATAACGTTTTTGTTATCTCAATTTGAGTTAAGATGAATGCTTTATTGCATCATGGAGCTAATAGTTTGTTTTTCATCTCTTTGGGCTTAAAACCTTCACCTACTAAACTGCAGCATGGATGAGAATCTAGGATTCCAGTCTGGACTTTCCAGACCAGGGCTGAATCCCCCATCAGTTCAGTTTGAGAACGGATTTTGTGAAGCTAGCTCAGAACTCATCCGAGGCGGATTCGGTGCATATGGAAAGAGAATTTGTGGGTCAAGTTCTCAGTATGTGCAAAGCAATGTAAGTTTCATCAAACCCTGCACTGATTTTGGAACCGAAATTCGAAACTACAAACTGATTCCACATCTACAAAGATGGATGATAACCAGTTGTGGTATGATGTTTTAAGACAAATGATATGATAAAATGTTTTCTGTGATGTTATTTTGTTTCTTTACTATTTATTCCCAAATTAGCAGATAAGCAAGTACTTCTCAGATCCTCAATACTACTTCCAAGTGAACGCTCACTATGTCAGGAACAAACTGAAGATAATTTTGTTTCCATTTCTGCACAGAGTATGTAGAAATTGAACTCAAGGCTGGTCATAAACAAGTTTGAATTCATAACCAAGTTGTAAGAACATGTGTTTAGCTGCTAAATCTCCTTTTGTTTAGGGGCATTGGACGAGGATAACGGAGCCAGTTGGAGGCAGGCTTTCTTATAACCCTCCAATCACTGACATACATGCTCCAGATTTATACATTCCATTCATGACATTTGCAACATACTTGGTTCTTGCTGGCATCTCACTAGGCCTCTCTGGGAAGTAAGTCTAGAGCATCCTAAAAATCCAATATTTTAGCATGAAATATGTTTCGACATTTTTTATTCCTGCGCCGTGCCAGATTTAGCCCGGAAGCCATAAATTGGCAGTTTGTG